TGGACAGTTTGTTCTGAGCTTCCAACGAATCTGCCCTCTTTCCCGCTGAAATTGTCTCAGACTTTGATGAAGAAGGTGAGGGATGGGGCTTGGAAGAACTCGAGGATGAACTCTGCTGGAGTTTTTCTTGCACCGAGGAGTCACTGTTTGATTTGTTCTCGTTGGAATCACGATGAAGAACCTCTTGGGAACAGGTTTTGTCTGATGACGTCACAGACAGGTTTGGTCTATGGCTACTTGAACTTTGTGACCTACGATGCTCACGTGACTTTCTCGAGGACAGTTTGTCTTGACCATCCAATAAATCGGACTTCTTTCCCGCTGACATTTTCGCGGACTTGGACGAAGAGGATGAGGGGCGGGGCTTGGAAGAGCCCGGGGATGAAGTGGCACAACTCGTGGATGAAGGGGCAGAACTCGAGGATGAGGGGGCAGAACTCGAGGATGAGGGAGGAGAACTCGAGGTTGAGGGGGCAGAACTCGAGGACGAGGGAGGAGAACTCGAGGACGAGGGGGCAGAACTCGAGGACGAGGGAGTAGAACTCGAGGATGAGGTGCGGGGCTTAGAAGAACTCGAGGATGAGCTCCGTTGGTGTCGCAGGGAGGAGTCACTGTTTGATTTGTTCTCTTTGAAATCACGATGATGAACATCCGGGGAACAGGTTTTGTCTGATGACGTCACCGACATGTTTGGTCTATGGCTACTTGAACTTTGTGACCTACGATGCTCACGGGACTTGCTCGTGGACAGTGTGTTCTGACCTTCTAATGAATCTGTCCTCTTTCCCGTTGACATTGTCTCTGACTTTGACGAGGAAGCTGAGGGATGGAGCTTGGGAGAATTCGAGGATGAAGGGCGGGGTTTGGAAGAACTTGAGGCTGAGGGGCGGGGCTTAGAAAAACTCGAAGATGAGCTCTGCTGGTGTTTTTCTTGCAGCAAGGAGTCGCCGTTTGATTTGTTCTCTATGAAGTCACGATGACGAACATCATGGGAACAGGTTTTGCCTGAAGACGTCACCGACATGTTTGGTCTATGACTACTTGAACTTTGTGACCTACGATGCTCACGTGACTTGCTCGTGGATATTTTGTGTTGACCATCCAACCAATCTGACTTCTTTCCCGCTGACATTTTCGCGGACTTGGACGAAGGGGATGAAGGGCGGGGCTTGGAAGAGCTCGAGGATGAAGGGGCACAACTCGTGGATGAGGGGGCACAACTCGTGGATGATGGGGCACAACTCGTGGATGAAGGGGCACAACTCGTGGATGAGGGGGCACAACTCGTGGATGAGGGGACACAACTAGCGGATGAGAGGGCACAACTCGTGGATGAGGGGGCACAACTCGTGGATGAGGGGGCAGAACTCGTGGATGAGAGGGCAGAACTCAAGGATGACGTGGCAGAACTCGAGGATGAGGGGGCACAACTCAAGGATGATGTGTCAGAATTCCTGGATGAGGGGTGAGGCTTGGAAGAACTCAAGGATGAGCTCCGCTGGTGTTTTGCTTTCTGAGAAAAATAGCTGCTGGATTTGTTCTCATTGGAATTACGATGGTGACCCTCTGGGGAACAAGTTTTGGCTGATGACGTCGTTGACAGGTTTAGTCTATGGCTACTTGAACTCTGTGACCTTCGATGAACAGAACTCGTGGATGAGGGGGCAGAACTCGTGGATGAGGGGGCAGAACTCGTGGATGAGGGGGCAGAACTCATGGATGAGGTTGCAGAACTCGTGGATGAGGGGGCAGAACTCGTGGATGAGGGGGCAGAACTCATGGATGAGGTTGCAGAACTCGTGGATGAGGGGGCAGAACTCGTGGATGAGGGGGCAGAACTCGTGGATGAGGGATGGAGTTTGGAAGAACTCAAGGATGAGCCTGAACTCTGTGACCTCCGATGACCATGTTTCTTGTCCCCAAATTTGACCTGAACCTCAGAAGTATCGAGTTTGTTGTCTTTGAGATGAGTGGACACGATGGGGTCATATGACTTTTCATTACTCCCAGGTGTTACTGGAGTGAGAGTTGTCTCATCCTGGTCATCATCAGGCTCGCTGTCGTCTCCGAAGAGAGAGGTGAACAACTTCTTCATCTTCGGATCTCTCATCCTTTTCTTCGACTCTTCTGGTTGGAAAAAGACAGACAGTAGGTCAGACAACATGGAGGAGACGAAGATCTTGAATAATAGTTAATGCAATAGGAAGAAATTTCGACACAAACTTTGTCAGTTAGGCCAACCCAAAATTGAAACGATGACATCATTTAGAACAATCTGGAAGGTGTTCAATTTAGCCTCTCTGTTGCCAGTTTAAATTATATTTTTTTAAACTATTCGGGGGCCCCATCCTATCTCTCTGTCTATCAATT